CAATTTAAAGTCAATTTAACTATAGATACGTGGGGTTAAACAATTTCACAATCGGTGAAAATTTTAATTTGAACGTTAATAACAAATATCGTGTTCATCTACACTCAGTCTCGGATTTTTGTCCCCCGCTTTCACTGAAAGTGGGGGATATGAATTTGGGTCCGTCCATCTGTATTTCTGTCTGTCTGTAACACTTTCATTTCCGCGCGATATCTCGAGAACCCTTTGAGCTTTCGCAATGAAATTTTGCATAGCAACTCCCTATGGCCTAAAAAAACCCTATTTATTTTGAGGTCAAAGGTCAAGGTCATAAATTCTCTCTGTTTTAACACTTTCGTTTCCGCGTGATATCTCGCGAATTCTTTGAGCTTTTGCAATGAAATTTTACATAACAACTCCCTGTGGTGTAAGGAAGATCCCTATTGGTTTTGAGGTCAAAAGGTCAAAGTTCAAGGTCATAAATTCATACATTCCGTCTGTGTGTAACACTTTTGTTTCCGGACGATATCTCAAGAAGCTTTTGAGCTTTTGCAATGAAATTTTATACCATAACTCCCTATGTCCTCTCTCGCCCCTCTCAAAGTGTCCCGCCCCTTTTTTTTATTTATTGTATTAAAAGTCGCTTGGCAATATATATTTTTAGCACAGGGCATATGGAGAGTTATTACGTATAATACAGGTTGTGGGCAGACTTTATATTCTAATTACATCTATGAGAACTGTTTAGTAAAGGCTTAATTAGACACCATGTATTGTGTAAAATTTTGACAATATCGAACGTGAATTAATATAAACATTATATGTGACCTACTGTTTGCATTTAATTTGGTGTATAATCAAGTGCCTCCGTGGTCTAGGGGTATGACTCTCGCTTAGCACGTGAGAGGCCCCGGATTCAAGTCCCGATCGATCCTTTATTTTTTTTGGAATTTTTGTTGTTGTTGGATTTACTATATAAATGATAGTAGTCAGCATGTAAAATGAAAAAGTTATGACGTCTGGCTTGTACTACATTGTAATTCATAAAATCGTTATTACAGTGTGATAAATATCCTATACAAAAAGAATCTTCTATACACATATTAAAGAATAAGCAATCAAATCTTTATATTTTTTATTTGCTTCAATATACATGTATACATTTAATAATTCTACAAATCAAGGGGGGGGGGGGGGGGGAGTCCGATCCCTCCTCCCCGAACTGCGCATGCTCTTCTTTGAATTAGATTGTTGCTACAAAGAAGAAAAATTACCAAGTTGACCACCAAGATGGCGGTCAAGGGAAAAAACTCGGAGAGAAAATACGTCATATGAAAACTATCTTTTGTACCATCAGACCTCAATCTGTTTTGTATCCGAAATTGGCATTAATACACTGCATCTAGGGCGTACGGAACAAATCAACTGTATAAAAGCCTGTTATATCCGTTAAGTGCACGTTCCGCTTTGTTTAGCTTTATCGGAGGGTTCGGACAATGACATATATATACGACTATGCGTCACTTCCTTTCATTCTGAAATGCGAATTTTAGAAATGGATAGAATTAGCACTCATTCCATTTAAATAACAATGTTATGCATGATAATGGTAAAACGGCATCCCATAATGGGGCTTAACGTGATTACATGTATCTTACAGAAAAGTGAAATAGACTGATGCATGGTTATTTCAAAGATTGAAGTATACAGTATCACAGAGACATAGTTACATCGTCGTTACGAAGTACTGTAGATAATTAACTGGAGATGTTCTCCTGTTCGAAGTTATGTCACCCCAAAACAACGCTCCTGCATCCATTTTTACTGTTATAATCCCCAGGGTGACTATACCCATGATAACAGGCATTGAACTATCACCGTGAAACTCTGAAATGGGACTCGACGGATCTTTTTTTCGTGAACCGCTCGCTAGTCGCACAAGTCGATGTGTTAGACAAGTATAGGGCAGAAAAAGATTATTATTTGTCAATGGGTTTTCATTTGAGAATCGTTATTTTTATTTTTTACTATAGAGATGATTTAAATATGTGAATTTATGTGACATATTTCAAACTATTTCAGTATATTTGTGTCACCTTGTCCTCCACATTACATGGTATACCCTTATAATAATTCTTTTAATGTTGAATTTATTATCGTTTTGCACACTGTTCAGCCCTGCATATTTCTTTTGTAAACAATAAACCTTAGGCTAAATAAGCTATTTTCTTTCTGCACAGGACATAAAGAATAGTTGAGGTCTCTTTAATATATATCGTACATTTTATTGTGATTTCGAGATGAAAATAACGAGGGTTGATCTAAAAGTAGTGTCACAACTGCTATAAAATCTTAAATAATGGAAAAATTTCCCCCCAAAAAAACTTATTGATACCTCTATCTATTTTGACTTTTTCTCCTAAAATTTCTTTCAGATTTACCTGTATGCAATACTTTATGAAATATAAAAATAAACACAACGTTGGGGCTCGTCTATCGTCGCACGGCAAGGGTGTATAAGACCATATTATGACGTTTATCTTCGATACTCATTTTGAATCTGATTTTACATAAAATTTATGCAAAAAGGAAGGACGTTAGAATTAACATTTGCGCAAGGCACAAATAATTTAATACTATAACTTAAAACAAGACGGTTTATAGCAAAATGGCAGTGAAGATCATGAAAAAGAAGCACGTGAGGTTAAAAAGATATGCAGATGAGCTGAGAATGAGTACCCAAAAGTATAACGTCATACATGTGTAACGATGTCGAAAACATTATAGGCAAAACCTAACGTTGTGTTAATCTTCATATTTTAAAAAGTATTTTATATAAACAAACTTAAGGAAATTTCTAGACAAAAATCAAAATAGATAGAGGAATTAATATGTCAAACTTTGTTGATAACATTTGATCATTTAAGATTTTATAGCAGCTGTAACATTACTTTTGGGTCAACTCGCACCTGTTTTATACAAAACAACAGTACACATGATCAAATTAACTCTGATCGAAGGTCACTGAACCGTCAAAATACCTTTTTAAAATCCCCCACGTAAAATAAGCAAACAATGTTTTGAAAGTCTTAGATTTATTTAAATTAACTTCTTGACAATTGGAAAAGATCATTATAAAAATTGAGAGATGTGTTAATCTATCTTCTTGACAGGTAACAGTGTGTTGCTTTTAAGTTCGTTTATCAAATGCATTCCAGAGCAACAAGACCATCATTTGAAGATAAAAAAAAAAGTAAAATCAAGAGAACACGTACATCATTTTTCAAAAGGACAAGCGGTTTGGTAGATTTGTTTTCTAATACATCATATTTATATTTATTTTTAAAATAAATTGCACTTTTAAGTAAACGAACAGGGCGTTTTTTAATCCTGAATGTATGTTTAAATAGCTAAATTCATATGCACGCTTGAATAATAAGGGCTTAATTGTAAGAAAAATGAAGTAAAACAAATGCAAAAACAATTTATTTTTTACCTCTATATATTGTATCTAAAGTTTACAATTTATTTTACAATAACATCTAATACTACGTTTCGCTAGGAAATATACGAAGTAACATAACTGAATGTAACTTTCATACGTACATGTATCTCAAAAAGATAAATGTTTTCTCGATTTCCTTATTTATGAATATAACATAAAACTAAAGGATGAAGAAAATATCAGATAAAGTTTTTTTTTTCCTGATCGTCTTGAATTCACCTTGTATATATGACCTCCCCTACCTCCCCCCCCCCCCTTGCCTCACCCGAAAGCATTATTTACTTATTCTAAAGGACTATATTCTGTAGTGGCCAGTATCTGCCCCCAAAATAAAACTTTGATGGAGAAATCTTTATTTATGTTCTAAACCAGATGGATATTTGCAGACTTCAAAGCATTAAATATTTTTACCAACTATGACATCATTAGTTAGATATGACGTCAATAAAATGACGTAAATTCCAAACTGCAATGATTTTGAGAGAAAATAGTGTATTTTACGTCGGTATTTTGATTGGAAATTATCGAGCGCAGGTCTGCTCAGACTAGATCTTTTGCTATAATGTGTAGAATGATAATATCAATGAAATATGTGAATATGGTACCTGAGCAAGCTTGCGCTCTATAAATACTATAGTCAAATTTGAACAAACTCTGTGCATTGTGGCCTCTATTTTGAAAATAACGGAAATCCAAATAGTTTGTGACGTCACAGAGACAAAAAAAGCCAACTAATTTTTCCAATTTCATAATATATTGTCTTACTTTGGATTATTTTATACAATATATGCACTTTTGCTCATTTCAAGAGATTTTCAAAATTTGACTATTATGGGGGCAGGAATACGCCCTTACCGTATATAGTTCTTTTTATTCTATGTAAATCAGGACGAATCATTCATGTACAAAACATTCAAAAATAAAGAATAATATTAACTAACTCGTAAAGCAAAAGTGTTGAGGTCTGGGGTTCGATCGTTTTGTCATTTGCTGTGCTCTTTATTAACAAGTATGCATTCATTAAAGATCGTCTGAGGAAACAAATTAAAGAAAAGTGCACAAGGTTTTTGGCATATTTTCTTTCTTATACTTATTTTTCATGCTTTTGCAGATATTGTATATATAGAAATAGAAGTGTGAACAGTGAGTGTCAGTAAGATCCGTTTCGCTAGTTTTTTTGCAATAGAACTCGTCTATATTTATAGATGTTTGGTGTGAGGAAACTCCATCAGCGATGCATTTTACGCGATTTAAGAAAACTTTACATTGTATGTTGTTTTAGAAAGAAATAAGAATTAGTTTTTGCATATAATTCCGTACGTGTATAAAAATTGAATTTTAAGAGTCATTTATTTTTCATATACATGTAGTTAAAAATCTAAATTCAATTTATCTCAAGAACACACTACTTATTTAAGAAAAAAAACTTGAACACTAAAAATGAAAGGAGAAAAATTTTATTCAGAATAAGGTGAAATAAATTCAAATGTATGAATAATCATGTAAAAATATATATTTCAAGATAATAATATAATTTGAAAAAATGCAGATTTGATTTCAAGGCAAAATAAAACGAACATAAGATCGGGAAAAAAATGAAAATAAAATTGAGTTGCAATTCAGTAGAAAATAAATCTAAATTCAATGAAGATTCTCATTCTTCATCTCTCTTTCACCCAGAACTCACAATAAATAATAGTACTATAACTAAAAAACACATTAAATAAAAAAAGAAACAAAACTAAAGGAAAAACGTATATATTGTCTTTAGTAAACGTTGTATAATGACCTGTTATGGTAATCTCCCTTAGACTAGAAATTTGCGTATACACTATCGTTTCTCAAATATTCTGCTATAGCCTCATGACAAAGCTGATATTCCTCCTAGAACAAAATAAATGCATTGCAATAATGATTTTTTATCAGAATTTTTCTTCTTTATTCAGCGTAAGGATGTCGTAATTATGCACATTATTTGACAATGAATAACAATCGCCGTCATTTATTTTCAAACAAAGTATGTTTCTTTACCACAATACAAAAGAATTTTTGAAAGTTATAACATGATAGGAAACATAGATTTATCAAATTATAGTGTTGAATTCATCAATGTTACATATATTCTGGAAAATCTAAAAATAAAATGGAAGTAAGGTTGTTAATACATACCAAGGTAGACACAAACTCTGGTCTACGGATCTGAAGTTGCCTTGTGATGGTGAAGATGTCCACTTCCTGATCCATTGAGAGTTGTTCGAGGGCGTTATACACCACACAGAATGCTCCACAACGTGTGGCACCATCACTATCAAAGAAAACAAGCTAATTCAGAGAATTTGTGTCTCCCGCATAGGGAAAAATAGACTGGCTTGCCTGTCTGATATGCGCGATATACATTTCGAACGACAGAGACAGGCAATACCAGTCTAAGGGAAAAAAGAAGAGCATGCGCAGATGGGGGGGGGGGGGTCACACTGCCCCCTGTATTTGTAGAATTATTAAATGTATACATGTATATTGAAGCAAATTTAAAAAAATGCCAATATGGATATAAAGATTTCATTGCTTATTCTTTAATATGTGTATAGAAGATTATTTTTAATATACAGAGTATTTAATTTATCACTCTGTAATAATGAATTTGTACACGCCAGACATCATAACTTTTTCATTTCACATGTTGAATAGTATCATTTAGTAAATCAAAAAAAAAAAAAAAAAATAATAATAAAAAAAAAATTTAAAAATTAAAAAAAAAAAGAAGAGAATCGTCTAATTGATTGAACCCGGACCTCTCGCTTGCTAAGCGAGCAACATACCACTAGACCACGGAGACACTTGATTATACAGCAGATTAAATTCAAACATTAACTCACATATAATATTTATATTGACGTTTGATATTGTCAAAATTTTAATCAATACATGGTGTCTAATTTAGCCTTTACCAAACAGTTCTAATAGATATGATAAGAATATAATGTCCGTCGACAACCTGTATTATACGTAATAACTCTCCACAAGCACCTGTGCTAAAAATAGTGCCATGCGACTTTTGATACAACACATGTAAATAATAATTAAAAAACGGGGCGGGACACTCTGAGAGGGGTGAGAGAGGCCCTAGGGAGTTATGGTATAAAATTTCATTGCAAAAGCTCAAAGGCTTCTTGAGATATCGCCCGGAAACAAAAGTGTTACACACAGACGGAATGTATAAATTTATTACCTTGAACTCTGACCTTTTGACCTCAAAATCAATAGAGGTCTTCCTTAGGCCACAGGGAGTTGTTATGTAAAATTTCATTGCAAAAGCTCAAAGGATTCTCGAGATATCGCGTGGAAACGAAAGTGTTAAAACAGACAGAATTTATGAAATTATGACCTTGACCTTTGGACCTCAAAATCAATAGAGTTCTTCTGTGGGCCATAGGGAGTTGCTATGCAAAATTACATTGCGAAAGCTCAAAGGGTTCTCGAGATATCGTGCGGAAACGAAAGCGTTACAGACAGACAGAAATACAGACGGACGGACGGACGGACGGACAGACAGACCCAAATTAATATCCCCCACTTTCAGTGAAAGCGGGGGACAAAAAACAAATACATTGAATTCCAAAATCTATCTCTGAGAACTGGTGAGTGTGAGTAATATTATTTTTTTGCATATATGTAGTCTTATAAATTTTACAGCTTTTGACAGAAAGCCTTCTAGTTACTCTATAAAATCTAGCAGAAAGACATAAAAGCATATGGTAAACAGATCCCTGTTTATATGGGAAATTAAGCAAAATAATCAGTACAATTCTCATGAAAAATTCTTATGTTAATTTTGTTTGAAACTACCTGGAGAGTATGAGAAGTCTGTTCCCATGATCAAAGTTTTCACTCTTTGCCGCCTTGACAATATCCACTAAGTCCCTTTTATCTGCAATAGATTGTCCCTCTTTCCATTTTTGGCATTCCAGCACAGTTACCCTCATTGAGCTGGATCCCTGTTTTCCATGTAAAGGATTTGATGTATTTAATGCACAGAATGAATCGTATTTTCTCTGAATGGTAAAAAACTTAATTTGATTCAAATATAGTTGACTTTACAGACCTTTGGTTTAATAAGTATATTTGTCTTGGAAACATTCGCCGAATCTTCACAAGAAGTTAGCGTTATTGTAAAACTTCCAACAGTTTTCTCCATGTTTTTGGATGGGAACCAAAGAGAAGACTGGGTAAAAGTGAAATTAGACTTAACAAGATGTAATTGTTTCAAGAAATATACTCCCCGACCCCCCCCCCCCCAAAAAAAAAAAAAAATAAAAAATATCAAAACTTAATATCCTAATTCAACAAAACATTTATAATAGTCGTAATACTAGTCATATTTTTATTTATTTTGTAAATAAATTTTCTCATGATGTATTCAATTTTTTTTTTGCATCGTCGAAGTATTATTTGTTTTCTAAATTGAAAGAATTCCAATGAGTCAATTACGTTGTGTGGACTACAATTCTTATATTCATTATTATGCTGGTGGAACTACCAGAGTTACTTACGGATTCCAAATCAGGTAATGGACAAAGGAAGACAACCACACTGACATTCATATCCTTCACCAGTCTTAGAAAGTCTTCAGTGTAGTCTCGTAGTGGATACTGGGCACTGATAAGGCTATCGTGTTCTTTGTAAGACTGAAAGATATCATTTCCTTTTAATGAAGATTTTTTTCTTTAACCATGATTTGGTGCAATTAATTTTTAAGCCAAGAAAGACTTGTAGAATACACATTTGTCTCAGGTAAGAAAATCATTAGATGTACCAATACAAGGGTTTAATTCACCTGTAGCCCCTTTTCACAAAAAACAATCTTGACTGATTATAAAATCTGATTATTGTGATTTTTTTTCTTTAACAAAGACAATTTTTTTCCTGAAGGATTTATCATTTTTTTTTTACATACTATAATTTAAATAATTTTTGAAAAATTGAAAAATGTTTGTCTTGGTCATTAAATTTATTGTTGAAAATGAAATTAAAAAAGGCAATATTTTCTAATGAAAGTGTTTTTTTTTCAATATCTATTTTTTTCCAGCAGTGTATAGAAGGTCTTTTAAAAACTCAGCTTTCTTTAATGTATGATTCTATTTCTCATATTCCTTCACATATACTTGACCTGGAGAAAAACAGCGTTGTAATATGTTGATCTCCCTTTTGTATATGTTAACCGGCACATGAATTCTTCCACTGAAATGAAAGATTAAAAAAACATACGAGGTTAGTATTTTCATTGAATCAGTTCATTTTTACAGAGACAATCTTTATTTTTTTTTTATTAAAATAAACAATAAAAATAATGGAAAGCAGCTCAAAAACTGACGTTTGTTAGGTTTGAAAAGATGATTAAGAGTTTTGACAATACCAGGAAGGATATCCTTTGTGTAGTTGGCTTCTATATTAGTACTTCCGGATTCATGCTCCACATCTGTATAAGTTTTTCTAAGAGATAGCAACTCCTAAAATGATACCATTCGTCAAATTAAAAAAAAAACAAAGACAGTTTTTACATTCAAGTAAGAGGAATTGCTGCAAATTTAAAAAAAACAAAACAAAAACGATGCATGTTGATACAGGACATCAGCACCCTTCAATCATGATTTACTGCAATAAAGTGTACCTCAAAGTCTGAAGACAGAGGGTTTGATGAAACCTCTCCACAATTGGCGTAACAAGATTTATCTTGATATCCTTGTAAAATTTCTTCTGTTGTCATGCATCTTGATTTCCCAACGAACGATTCGTAAAGTACCAAATAGACAGTCTTGTATTGTTCCTGAAAATTAAATATGTTGAGATATTACAAATATTTATTTTTTATTAAGAAAAAAAAGACCCCGATTTTATCGTGTTTCATACACAAACGTCAAATTAAAAAAATTCGATTACAAAGATTTATTTTAAAAAATCGATTTATCTTGTAACTTCTACACACAAACGATAAATAAATTATAAAAAAAAACTTTTATATTCATGCACAAAAGGATTTTAATTTGATAAATTATTTGTTATTTACTTTTCTAAAGGTAAATAAACTAATTGTATCTTTTAAAGAAATATTATTTAATGCATCATTAAATATTGCACTTGACTACATATATTTTTATAAAGACCAACTGGATGTGGAATGTTATATAAATGAAAAAAAGTGGTGAATCATTATTCTGTTCTGAACATAAGATGTGAATGCAAAAGTGGCACATACCGAGACTAAGATTTTCTTACAAAGACGAATTACAATAATAAATAATATCATCCTCTTTCAGCGTCTGGAAGTATGACATGCATAAATATTGAATATAAATGATCTATAAAATATATTGTATAATATGTGTTTTCAACTTTATAGAATTTTTGCATTCAAAAACAGTCTTGATGTATATGACTGCGATTATGCTAAAACAAGAATTAATAAGACTTACATCGCCTTGTATCATGTTCATTCTGTCCTTTCTCATGGTTCTGACGTACATCGGTACATTTACTTTACCATTTCTCTCCCCTTCCCAATAGAGGGCGTCTAAAGCTATGTATGTTCCTGTTCTACCGATGCCAGCACTACATTTTTAAAAATTAGAAGTAAAGGTTTTTGAAAATCATATGAAAAGATAATTTCATATGAGAGGAAGAGAAAGAGAGAGAGAGAAGCATTAAACCTGCAGTGCACAGCAATGTATTTTCCTGGGTATTTAGAGGACATTCTCATCACGTGACGATGGAATACGACGAGACTGAGTGGATCGGGGACTCCATGGTCCGGCCATCTTGTATAGTGAAACATCACCACCTCTCTATCCTTTTGCTCCTGCAATCATATATGTGAGCTTGGTAATGATTAATTTCAAGTATAAACAATTATAAATAGCATACTGTTTCCATTTTAAAGTTTATTTTTTGAAAAGTATTACACCACTACTAATTTTCTTAAACGATCTCTAATGACAAAATAACAGGCATTTGAATGTATTTATCTTGCTTTCCGATTTTTACAATTTCTCTGTTAAGTTTAATGATTACATTTACTTATTATTATTATATACTTTAGATTGAAAACGTATAATATGTTTGATATATTTCACATGCAAGGAAAGGACACATTTTTTAAAAAGCTTTTGTCTTATCATGTTTGTTAAATTCAATGACAATTTATTATGTTCAAAATAATAATTTTATCCCTTGTAATGCAATGGATAAAAACTTAATTGTAACTGCTTATAAATTATACGTGTTATACGAACCATTTCACTACCTTAAGCAGTATATGATAATATAGTATTAAAAATAAAGATGTTTTGACTAGTTCATTGCTTTGCTAACAAGGTTAAATTATTTCATAAAGTCAACCCATTTATTGTTGCCAAGTGTTTGTAGACCTTGAATATACACCTTCTTCCCTTTGCTTCTGATCTTAAATCTTGCTCTTTATTGATTATAATTTTTCTGCTTTTTATAATTTTAATCATTTTGTAGTAGGACATATTCTTTTACATAACGAATGTGTTAATACAAACCGTTTAATTAAGAAATAATGATGTTTTTACTATCAAAATACTTTGCTAACAAGGTTAAATTCAATCTTAAGGTCACCAATTTAGACTTACCAAGTGTTTGTGGACCTTAAAGCGTCTTTTAGTATAATTCGCATACACCTTTTCTTCCATGTTTCTGATATTAAAACCTCCACTCTGTAATTTGTCGTTAATGTTTGGCCAATACTGGTTGCACTTGTTCTAAATACGGAAATAAAAAAATCTTTTTAATTCATTTATTTCATTTACAACAGCAAGATGGAATGAATCCATATATCCACCTGGAATAAAGATGATATTAAAAATATGATCAATTTATATCCTACAGATGATTTTTAAAATTGTTTTATGTTAACACATTGGATCAAACAAAATTTGTTTCCTTTAGGGAGCAATAAAGCATGCATTAGTGTATATTGCATTCAAAATTTATAAAAAACTTCAAAGTTTTGATAATAATTATCCGATATCGACACTATTATGCAAATGAAGAAAAGATACTGTTGTGTGTATTCTTTAGCTGACCTTTGCCCCTTCTTTGAGATTGGTCAGACAAACTATAATGGATACATCCTCCTGCCAAATCATTTTCCAGAAATCAGCAATCGTCTTTGGCTTAGGACCTAACAAAAAAAATAAATAAAAAATAAAAAGAAATGAAAAACTGAGAAACAAACAAAAAACAATTCAAACAGAAACAAAGTTGAAGAACAACACAAAAATAAATTTTTACTTTCTGAAAAATGTTTTTTGGTATTTCCGTAGAATAATCAAAATTTTATTTATGAATTTCACTATTAATCAAGTACTGTTTTTTTTAAATAAAGGTATTTAAGTTTACCTTGCGTGGCAATGTAGGAGCGTTTTCCCTGAACATCCTATAATTGTAAAAACACAAGCAAAAGGAGACGTATTTTAATGCTGATACAGTTTTTTTTGTAAAATAAGTGCAAATACATTCAAGAAGAAATATAAGAACACTAAAATAAAAATAAAAGAAAACTTTATCATTATAGCGTTTTTACTTTAAAGACGCCTATTTATACAGTACTTCGTTGACATCAACTAATCAATGTGAAGTGTATAATATTGGATGGAAGAATTTTATATAAACCTACTTCTATATAATTAGCATTAATGTAATCCCCTTCACTCGGAGATGAGGTGTTCAATACAACTCGGGAATGGTCATCTGTAGATAAAATTGTAAAGCATTTACATGTACGCTTAATAGGATGAATGTCTGTGTTTCAAAAATAGATATATTAAGATTGTCACAGTAATGTTCTTACACGGAAAAGTCGTTTTGTATCTATTTTTAGATTTATTTTCTGGTCGATTTGCTACTTCACAGGGATGGTGTTCACCTTTTGGGATATCCTGTAAAGAAGAGTCTTGTTTTGGTCCAGATTTAGCACATGAAGTTACCAATAAACGAGCACATGTGATAAGCCCAAAAAAATAATTTAATAAACGCAATAGAAGTTTCTTGATGAGTTTGTATTGCTCTTTACTAATCAAATATATTTTTGAGTAAAATTCTTCCAGAGCTTATTAAATGACATACCTGATATTCATATTGAAAGCCAGCATCCTCGTTTGCAGACATTTTAGATATGATGGCCTGTAAATTATTCACTGGTATACATTTGTTCGTCGGGGGGCCTCTTTTGGCAGTCTCATCAGCATTAGCATCATATTTGTCTTTTGAGTTTTGAATAAATTCTTCATTATTTAGGTTGCTATCTGCAAAATACATGCCCAGGGCTTTCAGTTAAACGTGAGGCAGATGGAGATGTTTTCATCGTTTAAATGACCACAATTCGCTGCTTTAAATTTCAGAATTGGCAAAATAATCTATTTGAAATAATTCTGAAATAGCCCCTTCAAATCATAATTATTAAAACCCTGCTTTTATCGATTACGCATTATATTTACCCGTCTTACTTTATCTTAAAGTTTAAAATAAAGTAACGCACAGTCATCCCCCAAAAATAACAAGAGGCCCAGGGGCCACATCGCTCACCTGAGCACTTTGGCTAGGAAAAAGCAGAAATCAGTTCAGTATTGAAAAGTTTAAATATAAAAGTGGTGGTGGTGGTGGGGGGGGGGGTGATTTGAACAAGCTTTAATCCAAACTTCCTAAGGATGCTTTTGAATTAATATGATACATAATGGCTTTGCTGTTCTTAAGATGAAAATATCTATTGATATATCCTTTATATTCCCTTGTATAACTATGATCCCCTGTAATGGCCCCACTTTTATCTTGGGGGTCATGATTTGAACAAATTTAAAGCTTCATTAACTCAGGATGCTTTTATATTATTATGACCAATCATGCCTTTGTTGTGAGGATTTTTAAAGATTTTTCCTATATAAGACTTTTATCACCCATTTTGTCTCCACCCTACCCCCGGTTTGAACAAGCTTGAATCAACACTACCTGAGGATGCTTCCATATAAATATGTCTAATAATCATTGCTTTGCTGTTCTTGAGAAGACGATTTTTAAAGATTTTTTCCTATGTATTCCTATGTAAAACTTTGATAAGCCATTGTGGCCCCACCCTACCGCCGGGGGTCATGATTTGAGTAAACTTGAATCTACACTACCTGAAGATGCTTTCATTTTAATATGATCAATCACAGCTTTTCTGTTCTCTAGAAGAAGATTTTTCAAGATTTTTCCTATGTATTCCGATGTAAAACTATGATCCCCAATTGTGGCCCCACCCTACCCCTGGGGTCATGATTTGAGCAAGGTTGAATCTACACTACCTGAAGATGCTTCCATATTAATATGACCAATCATGGCTTTGTTGGTCTTGAGAAGATTTTTTTTCAAGATTTTCCCTATGTATTCCTATGTAAAACTTTGATCCCCCATTTTGGCCCAAACCTACCCCGGGTGTCAGGATTTGAACAAAAGTGAATCTATACTACCCGAGGATGCTTCCATATAAATATGACTAATCATGGCTTTTATGTTCTTCAAAAGAAGATTTTTAAAGTTTTTCCTATGTATTCCTATGTAAAACTTTGATCCCCCATTGTGGCTCCACCGTACCCCCGGGGTCATGATTGGAACAAAAGTAAATCTACACTACCTGAGGATGCTTCCATATTATTATGACCAATCACGGCTCTTATGTTCTTAAGAAGAAGATTTTTCCTATGTAAAACTTTGATCACTCATTGTGACCCGACCCTACCCCTGCAAAATCATAATTATCTCCCCTTGGAAGAAGGCGTGGACCTTCATTTGAACAAACTTCAATCCCCTTTACCCAACGATACTTTGAGCAAGTTTGGTTGAAATTGGCCCAGTGGTTCTTGAGAAGAAGATGAAAAAGTGATAAAATTACGATAACTACGACGACGACGACAGACAACGGACAAATTTCGTTTAGAAAAAAAACTGACTTAAGCCTCTGGCTCAGGTGAGCTAAAAAGTGAGCCATTTCTACTTAAATGTATATGAAAATAAATGTGATGCACAAAAATTCCACGACAATCTTAAAATGAGGTAAAATCGTACTATATTAGAATACTTTTTATTGATCATAGGAAAATGTTGATAAAGAAGTGTTTTGTAAAAATTGCTTTTCATCGATCAGATAAACAATTTAGATAAGGACGTGTTTTCTTTTCTTTTTTTTTTTTAAATTTAATTCTAAATATTAAATGGCCATTTTTTGCAATAAAGGACAACGTTCAATTTATTTCATTTTTTATTCTCGTCAAATGAGAGAAAGCAACTATCTTCAGAAACAGGCAAAAATACACATGTACTTTACAATAAAATGCTTTGAAAGGTTCAAAAAGGAACATTGAGATTAATTATAAGAATGACCGTGTTACTATCTTTTTTTTTCAAAAATATGAATAAATTGTATAATTCACAATTACTTGTATTTATTAACTTTCTAAAATGTCCTCCATGCATTTGACCTTACGTTCTGCAAAGGATTCTCTGCACATTTTTTCCACAATAGAAACATGCTTCATATTATAAACATCTTTACGTGTAGCTGACCTCTCTGAAGATTTCCTTTTAAATCTAGAATAAAGTATTCTAATTCATAAAGATTTACTAAAGCATAGCGTGATAAAAAAGATATCGTACAAATAAGTTGTGAATATGAATTTACGAAATACGACAAATGAAAATCTAAAGCAATAGACCACTAAAATTTCTCTTTCTTTATCTTCTTTGGCTCACATGACTCTGCTACGAGTACGTACCGGATAAGTAAAATGACCAAAACAACAATGATGATGACAACTGCTAACGGAACAACAACCCCAACAGCAGTAAGCGCATCAGATGAAGGAGCTTTAGATAACTGATATTCTGTAAATAGCCCTAAGTTAGAAGAGAGAAATGAGCATTATTAAATTCCTATCATCATTAAGCAGCACATAGCAAAAATAAACATGCTGTGAGAGAAATGCCATCCTTGCGTCCTTCAATTGTCATGCATTGTAAGAGCAATATGAACAGTATTGCTAAAAGTAAGAAAATAGAAAAAAAAGATGATTCAAAGAAATTAAAATAATAAGTAATTTGCTGAAGACAAGGTACATCTATACACACCTTGATCGCATTTTTCTCCATAGGCTTCTCCCTTGCAACCAAACAAACAACTCCCGTTGAATCTGTCACATGTACGATTTACACAATATTCACTGCAACGTGTTTGGCAGTTCACTCCATAGGACTTAGAGCACGCTGGAATTTTAGAAAAAAAAGTGGCAGTAGAAGAATTAAAGGGCATAAAAAGAAAATAATCTTATAATTGGATGAGTGTTACGCATACAAAACTGTAATATTTCATTGTCATTTAAAACGGGTTGTTTCCTATTTGTTCATTATCAATTTTAAGCGATGCGCTCCTTTTTACGTCTCGAACATATGCTGGCTAAATTGTTGATTAAGATGTTGATATGTATACAAAAAGGAACAAATTCTGAAATATTCATATATCAAAATTATATATAAGACGTCTTTATTGAGAAATGTTTATCATGTTGTGTTTTTTTATAGAAAAAAAGTTTATTTTAACAATTAAACGTTAATTGTTTTTTTTCATATGGATATGAGCGGTTGTTATATTGCAGAAAAAAATCCCATATATATGTCTCGTGTAATTTTTTCCCGCGATAATTGTACAATCAATTCATTGTTTTTTAATCATATGAAGTGAATAAAAATACTCAAAATATTGTACAATCGATTGTTGGAAATATTTGTGGAAGATCAATGGATAGTCAAACTTTGAATTATTAGCTCTTCTGAGCCGAAGGTCCAAAGAGCTAATGCTATGGCCATTTGTGCGGTGTGAGTAAAATTATTGGAATATGGGCCATATCTCAAGAACTCCTCGGCCAATTTCTCAAATTTTTCACAAAGTATTCTTGCCTAAGGGATTTCACATACACTAAAAAGGGATGTAAACCTTAAAGGAGGGGAGATAATTAAGGAAATAAAAACAAAAGTAGCTGCTGAAAAATCTTCTCAGGAACCACTGGACAGATCTTCACTAACTTACACAGAAGGTATCTTGTAGATAAAAAAAAATGTTCAAGGCATCATCCTTGGGCAGAGGGCATGGTCTCAAGGTCACTTCAAAGTTGACCTAAAATGTTTTGTTAAATTGATATTTTGACCATAATTATGACTAGGATCATCAAACTTTGTCTGTTGATCATCTAAGGATATCATGTCATGTTGACTCAAAAGTAGGTAAGGTGACCAACTGAATTAAACAAAAAAATTATTTTTAAAATTGATTTTGATGAATATGAAGCCTATGATCGTCAAACCTTGTCAAATATTGCATCGTGGGGACCTAAAGTGTGTCGTGTGTGAACCAAAATGTAGGTCACCATGATCGACTTTCTAAAGTTTATGGCTAATTATTTTCAAAACAATTTATTTAATTATTTGGGGAACTGAGTTTTTATAATCATCAAACTTTCGATTGATTGATTGATTGATTAGGGTTTAAGCCGAGTCGGCAATATTTCAGACATATTTCGGCGGAACATTAATTCTATATGACCCGTTTTGAAAGTTTTTTTTGTTTCTCTGGCGGCCCCCAGTGAGTCTACTCTTTTCCGAAAACCAGAGAAACGATCTTTTGCGTGCCAAGGGGGTTGCAATATTTGACACGGGACCACATTTAACGTCCCATCCGACGGACTTAAAAATTTAAAAATATTTTAAAAGTTTAAAATAAAACTCTCTGTGTTTATCAAAAAATTAATTACATTGTGTACCTTTAGATTTGACTGTAAAAATCAGTTTCATGTAAATAATCTAAAATTGTATTAACATTAACATTTGTAAACAGTTCACGCATCGTTCGTACATTATTGAAAAGTCTACTTCGAATAGGCGAAAAATCAGAACATTCTAAAAGAATATAATTTATAGTAAGCGGACAGTCACAGGATATACATTCTGGCTGAAGTTCTCGATTTAATAAGTATGCATGTGTTATTTTAGAATGACCTATACGTATTCTTGAAATAATCACTTCGTCCTGATGTTTCAGGCCGAAGTTAGATGATATGTAAACTTTGCTATCTATTGCATATAGTTTACTTGTATCACAAAATTCCCAATATATCTGCCAAAGAGAATTTACATGAAGTTTCACAATATATTTTAGGTCAGTATAAGGAATTTTAAAAATGGTAATTTCGTACTGAAGTGCCAATTTTGCAGCACTATCAGCCTTAGTGTTTCCAATTATGCCAATATGACTTGGAATCCAACAAAAGTCAACTACTTTACCTTGTTGAGTGAAATGATAGAACTGAACTAATATATCTAATATGTATGGTTGATCGATATTCATATTTTGTATAGATTGCAAGCAAGAAAGCGAGTCCGAAAATATTGTAAAAGAGTTGTCATTAGAAGATTTAATATATTCAAATGCAAGCTGTATGGCTTTTGCCTCTGCTGTAAATATTGTAGTTTCATTTGGAAGCCTTAAAGAAAAAACATTGTTTTTATTCACTCTAGCCGCTGCTACTTTATTTTTGTCTTTAGAACCATCTGTATAAATTTCGACTGTAGAATTTTTAGATAGTTTTATTTCGGCTAATTTCTGTTTAAAAACAAAAGAATTGGTTTCTGATTTCTTAAATTCAGTTAAAGATGTGTCTACATTTGGTTTAATTAATTCCCATGGCGGTATTTCAGAGAAACTTGTAGGTTTTATAATGTTCAAAGGTAAGTCAGAATCCCTGATATGTTTTCTAGATCTTAGACCAAGAGAATCCATACATGTTTTAATTTTATCGAAGTTGATGCATCAAGAGGCCCTGGAACATTTTTATGGAAGATCACAGTGATCTACTTTTTGAATTTTGTATGCATTTATTTTTAAATAGTGTTAGATGCAAATTTCGGACACTATAAAGCCTGGGATTATTCCACCTTGTCGACCGATGCATCCCAAGGCCTCAAAGTATCAAAAAGTAGGTCACAGTGACCTTCTTTTGAAATATCATAGTCATATTTAAATATTTCAGATACTCAATGGCTAAGATTCATAAAATTTTATCATTTGGCGCATTTTGGGTCTTCAGAGTGTGTCAACCAAAATCTAGGTCACGGTGACCTACTTCTCATATTTCATGACTATATCTAAATATTTTGGCTAATAAGAGACTTACATGTGGATTTAAAAAACTTTGTCAGTTGATGCATCTTGGGTCTTCCGACTGTTTTACCCCCAAAAAGTAGGTCACCGTGACCTCCCTTTGGTATCTTCCACTTTTATCTTAATATTTCTGATAATAAAAAGCTAAGAATCATTAATTTTCGTCAATTGATGAATCTTTGGTCAAGGTACTACGTCACTTAAAAAGGTCACAATGACCTACTTTTTGAATTGTTAGCAATATTTAAGTATTCCACATAATAAGAGGCTTAGAATCATTAAATTGTGTCATTGATGTCTTGAGTCTACGGAGTGTGTCAATAAAATGTAGTTCACTATGACGTAATTTTGATATTTCATGGCTATATCTAAGTATTTCGGATAACGAGAGGCTAGAATCATAAACTTTTGTCAGTTGATGCATCTTGGGTTTTCGGTGATTATCAACTAAAATGTAGGTCACTTTGACCTTTTTTTGAAATTTTACACTTTTGTCTCAATATTTAGGGTACTAAGAGGCTTAGAATCATCAAACCTTGATGCATCTTGAGTTGACATACTGTGCCAATTCGATAGAAGGTCACAGTAACATTTTTTTTTCAGTTTCATGGCTTTATCTAAATATTAATGATACTATGAGGTTTAAAGTTGAAATGATAAGGTTGTACAATTTTTCAGACGTGCGGTTCTAGACTCTTGGGCCTGTTTAAAAATGTTTCATACAAATACCCTTAAAAATAGGATGTTTCTAGTTAGGAAGTTTGATTTAAGTTAAAAGTAAGGGAACTGTTCATAAATTAATTTAAAATAAAATATTATGAACAGTTGCAGTTCTCGCCAGTAAATAAGTTTATTATTTTGCTTTACATATTAGAATATCTTTAAATTTTTTTTCGGAACAGAAGAAAAAACAATGATAATAAAAAAAGTATTAAAAACAATGAAATATCTTAATAACTGTGAATGTTGCAAACTATTAAAATGAATATTGCTTATCATCTGTGATTATAAGAGCACCCTTTGGCTCTCATACATGTTACAGTATAAAGTGATAGGGGATATAAAAGCCAAAATAATTGTTACGAAAAGTTAAAGTCAACAAACTAGAATGAAATCTAAATCTAACATGATAGCTCTTCATTCTGAACATAACTGATTTAGGATTTACTAGGTTTGATTATTAATATATATATATATATATATATATATATATATATATATATATATATATATATATATATATATATATATATATAATTAAAGGAAAAAACTCTTTATCATGTAACTATATGTTCATTTAATTGAAAGTGTACTTTACAATTTTGACTACAAAATATTCTTCGATATTAATTTGAAAGTAACAATTCCTAAGTAGCAAGATTTATACTTTAGTTTAGCTTATTTTAGTAACTTTTGTTGCACTTTCTGTATAGTCATAGCTTACAATTCTATACCTTCACTGCAATTTAAGCCCTTCCAACCAGTAGCACAGTTACAAGATCCGTCTGTGAATTTGCACATATCAATGCACTTCCCAGAGCATATACCTGAGCAATTCCTTCCAAACTTTCGTGGTTGACAAGCTAAAACACAACTTCAGCTATCGGTTAAAATATTGCGATATACATGTATTTGTTTTTAATATTTTATAAAATTCTGACTACTGCACTAATCTTGATAGATTTTAAATTTACAGAAGGTCATGTTATCAAGGTAACATATTTGTATTACAGCAGGTAATCTTTTTTTTCATAAAAGAAGATAAAGTTATATACTTTTGCCTCACATTTGTCACATTTTCCTCCGATATATCCATCCTTGCAGCCATTTGTACAAACTCCGTCTATGTGGTTACAGATCGCAGCATTCCAACAATTTTGGCTGCAAAATCCCTTGCACTGGTTTCCAAAGTATCCAGGAGTGCATGCTTTGAACATTTGTATGAAAAGAATTTAATTTTTTTTTTTTGCAGTGATAGTTATTTTACGATACATCTATAATCACATTCTGTAAACCAACTTTTAATTCGCATGCTAATAATATCTGCGAGTTTCACGACCTACTTCAACTCGTGAATATTAATCGCCTCGAACCATTTATCTTGCACTGTATTTGTAGAGAACCTTTCCTCAGTCACGTAAACAAATCGTCACGAATTAATTTCAAACCGACGAATCGCGAATAAAAGATGACGCGAATAATAGTTGGTTTACAGTATCCTACATATATATTAAATATTTCACCTTTTGTATTTCTGTCATTTACCTGCATCGCATATGTTCCCTGTATATCCAGGTTTACATCCCATGCCACAGTATCCAGTTTGTTTGTTACAGTGGACATCATTGAGACAGTGACCACTGCAGTTATATACACAGCCAGGACCATAGTTTCCATCTTTACATGCTGTTAACAATTACCATATGCAGTAAATTTTATCAAACTCTGACTATACCTTTGCTTTTATCATTTTTTAAAATGATAATTATTATAATAATCAGTTTAAAAGGGGCCTGGACACAGATTTGAAGTTAATATGTTCTCAAATTTCGTGTATGATATCATGACTTATATGTTGCTATAGCAGGAGATGTAATAAAAGCTTGTTCAGAAACTTATTTTATGTGGAAATTATTGAAAATACGATTTGCGGAACGCTTTTGATTGACACATCCTTACACTTCTACAAAATAAACTTTATCCTTAATACTTAAGAAAAGTAGAAATTTTGTTGTGTATTTTTTGTTTGTATGTTGTTTAACGTCCATCTCGAGAATTTTTCACTCATATGGAGACGCCACCACTTGCTGGTGGAGAGCTGCAAATTTTGTCCTATACTCGGCACTTACGGCCAGTGAGCAGTGAGGGATCTTTGTCGTGCCAACACCTACTGCGACACGGGACCTTGGTTTATACAGTCTCATCCGAAGGACCGGTCTCCACGTCCCACAGTGGGATTCGAACCCGCGACGTAAGGATCAACTCCTTACTTCGCGACTCTAGAGCAGACGCTCTAACCACTGCGCCACGCGGGCGACTTTTGGTGTATTAATGAAAAATATTAGAACTATAATTCAAAAAATTCAGAGTAGATATGTGAAAAAGCAAAACCAACTCATCAGTATTGTCAGTCTATGCTCAGTGAAGTGTGGAGAGTTTAAGAAATTGTACACACACTCGGTGAAACGTAAACACTAACAATAACAGAGCTCATGCCATGTTTACAAAAACAGATGTTTTATCGCTATTTTAAGAAGAATATCTTTGTCATTGAATTCTAAGAATATTCATATAAGATCGATTTATTTAACTGGTATTATTTTTTTAAGCGTAGAAATTTTAAATGTAAACAATTCAACTGTACCCAGGCCCCTTTTACGTTTTATAACCAAAACGCTTACAGCCATCAAGCGTGTTTGAGAATGCCAAATTATGTAATTTTTTCCCTATTCAATCTGTGTAATTTGAATGAAAGTTAAAAAATAGATATTGTTAATAAAGAATATATATGATTATAATGATATGAAATAAACCAAAAACAAGGAAATTGGTCGCTATTTGTCTTTTATGCACTGTATAGTTGAAATTACAGCAAACCTGAAAAGTAAAAAGATATTTTTTGTATTTACATTCTTCACAATTCTTTCCTATCCATCCATCAGCACACCCATTGTCACAACGACCGGTCACGTGATTACAGACTTCGTTTTTTATGCAATGGTTGGAGCACTGTTGTTCACAACCAAGCCCATACCATCCCTTTGTACACTCTGTTTAAAAAATGAAACTAATATTAATTTTTCAAGAATTTCCTGTATATCATGAAGATGCCTATATATTTTCATTTACACCAAACAAAAAACAGGTAATAACGGACAGGAAGTTGCAATAATTATTCATACCAGTTTTGCATAATTTTCCAGTCCACCCAGGCCTACATCTCAGGCATGTTCCATTTACGATATTACATCTTTGATTTTCACAGTTGATAGAACACTGTCTTTCACAATTCATCCCATAAAAGGTTTCATTACACCCTAATAAAAACAATTTCAAGGTTTTCAGGCGCAATGAAAAGAAGCGCTGCCATCGATTGCAAATATTCATGTTTTAAAATTTCAAATTTATTATCTTGAGCTTATTATCCTCCAAGTATTCATGTCCTATAAAAATATTAAAAGAAATATGCAATTAGCAACTATGATTGGTGAACTAATAATTAAGATGTTATCCAGTATATATATATACTGGATATATGAAAACTACTATAGAGAAACTCTTTAATTTTATACCATATGTACCTTACATTGACTTCAGTATAAATGCCAAGTTTAGTGAAAATCTACCGTCTGGTTATTTTTCAGGGACCATCTCAAAATACAGGTATATTTACTATAGTATTATATAGGAAAATACTATTTTTTCGCACCTCGGAGCAAATTATACAAATGCTACTAATAGACATTTTGCTCAAATTATATTATTTGATGAGTAATACTATATTGTACATTTTATGCAAGAAACACAAAATTCTTCCGTCTGGTTTCCAGAGGGGAAAGATTCTCAATTTTCTATGTTTAAAATTTCAATAGCATCTATTTTATACTTTTTTTTTATTTTATGACATAATTAATGACCCCTGTGACGGTACATATTGTCGTTTTGAACATATTGTCGTCGGCGACGATATGTACCTACCGTCACTGTACATATTGTCGTCTATCAGTACATATTGTCGTCGTCAGAAATGTAACACATGTACATATTGTCGCTGGCGACATTATGTGCCTCACCCTCACTGTACAAATTGTCGCCCCACAGATATTGTTGCTTAAAGATTTCTTTTGTTGTTTTTTGATTGTTTTGTGATTGTAATTGGTGTATGCATCACACAGACGTATCTCGTATGCTAATTAATGCAGCGTAATTGTGACGGTATATTTTGTCGTTCTGTTCATATTGTCGCCTGCGACAATGTGTACCTACCCTCACTGCGCATATTGTCGTTCATCAGAACATGTCGCATGGCACTGCACGGCAATGCTCCATATAAATATGGCCAGATAAACCAAAAACTATAAAAATGCTCATATACACTTAATTTGATCGCCGAAATATGTCTAAAATATTGCCGACTCAGCGTTAAACAATAATAATCAATCAATCAATCCATATATATATATATGACTAATCATTGCTTTGTTGTTTTTGAGAAGATAATTTTTAAAGAATTATCCCATATATTCCTCTGTGAAACTTTGGTCGCCCATTATGGTCCCACCCAAGCCCGGTTAGATTTGAAGATACTTGAATCTGCACTACCTGATGATGAGTCTCCCGCGTGGTGCAGTGGTTAGAGCGTCTGCTCTAGAGTCGCGAACGAGTTGATCCTAACGTCGCGGGTTCGAATCCCACTGTGGGACGTGGAGACCGGTCCTTCGGATGAGACCGTAGAAACCGAGGTCCCATGTCGCAGTAGGTGCTGGCACGAAAAAGATCCCTCCCTGCTCAATGGCCGTAAGTGCCGAGTATAGGACAAAGTTTGCAGCTCTCCACCGGCAAGTGGTGGCGTCTCCATATGAGTGAAAAATTCTCGAGAGGGACATTAAACAACATACAAACAAACAAACAAATAACCTGATGATGCTTCCATATAAACAATATTAATCGCGGGCCTACTGCTGTTCTCAATGGTAGATCCAGATTTTTTTTAAAACGGAGAGGGGATGGGCGGTTCAGAATTTAAAAAAATTTAAAAAGTCATTTGTATGTAAAGGTGTGCTACTGTTTATGTTAAGTAAATTATTTCATTATGGAATTTTACCTCTTGACTTAATTGAGAATATATACAAATCAAACCTATAGAATTTACCAAAGCAGAAAAAACCAAACCACAGGGCAGGGGGGGGGGGTGCACCGGTGCTACATCTGTCTGTTTTTTATAGGATTTTTAAATATTTTTTCTATATATTCATATATAAAACTTTGATCACCCTTGGTGGCCCAACCCTACCTCTGGAGCCATGATTTGAACAAAATTGATTTTGTTTTTGTTTTGTTGTTATTATGTCCATCTCGAAAATTTTTCATTCGCATGTAGACGTCATCATATACCGGTGGAGGGATGCAAATTTAAACCTATACTTGGGACTCAGGGTCATTGAGCAGTGAGGAATCTTTTTCCCACCAGCACCTCAAAATTGAACTTACGCTATGTAAAGAAGCTATCACATAAATATCATCTCTTCTGACCCAGTACTTCTTGAAAATAGAATGAAAGAATTTTTCTAAATATTCTATGAAAAACTTTGATCGCCTATTGTAGCCACACCCCACCCCCATGGGTCATGATCTGGATGAAACTGAATCTACACTTTATAAAGAAACATTCACATAAGTTTCAACTTTTCTGACACAGTGGTTCTTGGGAAGATTTTTTACTTCCCTTGAAAGAAGGGGAACAAACTGGAATCCCCATTATTCACCGATGCTTTATGGCAAGTTTGCTTGAAATTGACCCAGCAATTCTTGAGAAGCTGAAATTGTGAGTTTACAGTCGCCGACGACAATATGTACAAAACGACAATATGTACCCTCACAACCCCTCATAAAGAACTTCGGTTATTCATAACGTCAAAAACACACTATAATGAAGTCTATCTACCCATCATTTGAACAATCGTTTAAAAAATAAGTTATTTAATAACGTAATTAGATTTTTTAACCTGAGATTTCCTAATTTTGTTAATTTCTATAAATTATGTAAAAATAGTTGCTTTGAAAGAGTTATTAAGTTTTATTTTACTATGCTGCGCGAAGTATTGCGCAATGAAAACCCCAGTCGGCCCCCTTAAAACAGGTTCATGAATATTGTTGCCCAGGACCTACATGTACATGTACGTCTTTGGTCGCCTAAATATAATGTACGAAAATAATATTTTGCAATTAGATGGCATCATGTGTCATTGAAATGTATTCAAACTAGGCGATATTGTACTTATAATGTTTTTATTGATCTTATCTAAGATGCAACGTTTCATGGTTATAAATATGGGGGATGATACTTAAACTACTTTATTTAGGTCTTGTTATTCTGAAATTTAAATACTAAGAAATATTAACTTAAGAAGACCGTCTGTTTTGGAAGCGCTGACATGTGATCTTTTAAATATATATTTTTTTATATTTAGCATAGACCGGTCACAGTTACCTAGTAGTAGGGAGTTCGCTTCATGATCAGGAGGTCCGAGTTTGATTCTCGTTTGCTGTGCCTTCAAACCTAAGACGTAAACATAGATAGTGACGTGACTGTTACTTCGCCAGGCGACCGGCATCAGAAGTGAAAGTCAACGGTCTTTCATATTAGGCCTTATATAGCGATGTCCACGTCAGGTAAAGAACCCTCACTACTCAATGGCACCGAGTGCCGAGTATAGGTTTAAATTTGAAGACCTTCACCGGCACATGGTGACGTCTCCATATGAGTGAAAAATTCGCGAATAGCCGTTAAACTACATTCAATAATCAATATTTGTCTTAGAACACGCCGTAGTCACCATTTTGACAGCAATGAAGATTAAAAAATGTGCATGCAGTTCAGATTTCTAATGAATCCCATGATGTAGCTGTTCTTTTAATATTTTTTTGCACTACAGAACGTTCAGGTTTTATTATAAACTGGATTCCACGTTAAGAGCATTTCAAAGTAAATTTGTATTATTTTATATAATTATTGTAGATTTCTTAGGATGATGATCCATGCAGAAATGCTATTGTTTTGTAGCATGCTTTTTAGCAGTTTTTTATCAGCAGATAGATGAAATAAATACTGACTTATAAATATATCTTTTGGAAAGGTGGCTGTGCTAGATTCGTTTCACAAAGATGCGTTGTTATCATTATAATATTAATATACTTTCTTTGTACCCTGAAAATTTGTTTCTGTTTGTGTGTATGTGTGTGTTTATTTTTTTAAACAGTTAAATATTCCAAGTTATAACTTTCATATACATCTTATGTTCTTTGGTAAAAATGAGCCCGAGCAAGCATTTTATCTCAGAAGAAGACCCTAGGAAGAAAAGCAAATTGCATATATTTAAAAAATCCTAATTGTGTGCAAATCCTAATAAGGAAATGAATGGAGAATTATTGTAGGATTATATTAATTTGCAATGCCAGTGAGTTAAAGGCCCCAAAAGCTAAAAAGTAAGTATCTGATTCAAACCTTTTACTATCACTTCGCACAACTCAGTGTATGACTGGATTTCGTATCTTTCAGGATAAGTAGCATTATCAAATCGTTCATTGTAAAAGATGACATAACGTCCGTATCCGGTACAAGTTGTCGTAAAATTCAATGGAGGTAACTCTGGTCCGTCTTTGTAGCAACGTGATTCGTTGTCTCTTTTTATAGACTCTGATAAGTACAGTGAAAATCCAGCAAAGCGGCCTCTTTGTCGAGCCTCTGGAAAATATTCAGATTTTTATAACATTTTATTTCTTAGGAAAACTTATGAACGATTATTTTAAAGGTTTACTGTTTCAAATCATAAAACAAAGATATGAAAATTGCCCTTAAGGGTATACTGTTTGATTCTTTTAAATTTCTTAATATTGATTTACACCCACGGCAAGAAAATGTTTATTAATACATTAGGTTATAAATTAAAAAAAAAAGTATGAAGTTTCCATGCACCTTGTTTTATTGAGCATTATCAATTAAACCGTGCTAACTATTATTTCCAGACGCTTTCAGTAATAAGCATGTTGTACCAAAATAAATCTTTTTCTTACAACCAGGGATGGGGTAATGGTAATGTGTAATAGTAATTGACAGTAATTACTAGTAATTACAAATTTCGATGTAATTGAAAGTAATGTGTAATTGGCCTAATTTTCAATTACATGTAATTGTAATTTAATTAATTACTTTTGAGAAAGGCATGTAATTCACAATTACTTTTCAATTACATTCAATTACACTGGTGTTTTAATAAATGAGAAATAGCCCCCTTCTTTTTTTTTCAAATCTCAAACAATTTAATCAAGAAAGGTTAACTAATTTTTTAGGACAAAATGTTCTACAATATATTAAAAAAAATTATATATTTTCTTTATTTAGTGAATTGCTGTTTCCTCTTTAAAATGTATTTTCTTCAAAACTTTTAAAAATTATTTATCTCCTTGTTTATAAATATATTAAATAAAATTAATAATTTCAATTAATTTGTTTATGAATTGACACTTAAAATATCTAGTCCAATGGCTTCTAATCCTTTGTTTGCCATATCTACAGCTTGTGTAAGAAGTGATTAACAGGTGCTTATTAGTGCCCTATGGTTATGTACACATTGACACTGAACTTAAATAGAGATTTTACACACATTTTGACCTTACCTATTGGTAGTTTTATACACATACATTGACTATGTCTTCCCACAATTTTTTTTTAAAATATATAATATGTTGTTATAACACCATGGCAATTTTTCTATTTTAATAAAAATTTGTGGGAAGACGGTAGTTTAACACACAATATGTCAAATACTATAACTTTTTGAGATGTATAGCTAAGGATGATGAAAAAAGCAGGAAACAAGGCAAAACACATCCATTGTTTTGCAAAAATATATCAGAAAGCTTAAAAACGGACACATGGATTAATGGAAAACAGCATCCAGGTCCTGTAAAAGGACAGTATCCCAATTGAAAATTGGCTCTTTTTTCCAAAAATTCAGGTAACAATTCCCAACTGATTACCAAATTCAATTTTTTGATGCTGTTTATATATAGAAATACTAGTAACGTGTTTTGAAATTTTAATCTTTTTTAAAGATATATATCATGTGTATATGAGGAACAAGTCCACTATTTAACTCTTTAATCAACAAATAAATGTAAGTCAATAACATTTCCCAATTTTGCTACCTTTCTGATTAAAAATTCACAATTAGAAGGGTACAGGACCCTGTACCAAAAAGGAACAATTAAGCCCTGGAACTTGCTATTAGTCAGTATTTATGTATTCCTTTCACAAATGCCCCAGTGTAAAATATCTTCATTGTGGCAGAAAAATCTTTAAACCTGATAGATGTAGGTAAGGGGACACAATATTTTAAAATTTCATTAACATCTACACAATGTTTACTTAATGTAAAAAATAGTAACTGAAACTATATGAATATAAATGAACGTTCAATGGCATGACTATTTATCATTGTTTATTTTTATATGTTTTTTCTTAATGTAATTTTTAATTTAATTAATTACATTTACAAAGTAATTGTAATTTAATTAATTACATTTCAAAATCCTTGTAATGGTAATGGTAATTTAATTGAAGGTTTTGGGCGAGTAATTGTAATTTAATTAATTACTTTCTTATGTAATTGACCCCATCCCTGCTTACAACGACTGTACATGACCTCTTAAGAGGGATTATATCTATCACATGGGTCCATTTATGAAGTCTTTTCTAAGTCATAACTTTAATACACTGCGTGTACGAAGGTATTTCTTTAGACTTCATGCGTGTGTCCTCTAGTTCAAAAGATGCAGTTAATCATATATATAAACATTATCAAATTAACACTAGATGAGGAAATTTTATAGTAAATCATTAATCTGATATAATGTTTGTGGATAAGGTATTACCACAAATAGTACACCTAAGAATCTACCAAGATTTTTTTTTGTGAAAAAGGAATAAACTCGTGTAAGATTTGTCTTACGATGGAAATTTATTGTAAGCTAGATTATTTTTTTTTGTCCATTGAACTTTGCTTTCAACAAAATCGTAATCATTATAGTATGCTTTGCGGCAATTTTCTTGAAAATGTCCCATGGTTTTAGAGGATATATCAAACAAATTTAATATAGACGATGAAGCCAGATATTCAAAAAGATAGGAATTCTAATTTGAATGTCACATTGACTTAAATGATAAAAAGCATCTGTAACAGGATATGAGTTTAAGCTACTAACTATACCAAGGTACATCACTTAAGAACCAAAGATAGCAAAGCCTCATTCAGATATTCCTATCTCTGACTAAACTAGATAAACCATAGTCCTACTGTTCAAAAGAGAAAATTTTGAAAACAATCTTTTATCTTTTAAATCTTTAAATTTAGCATAACCCAAACATAAAGGTCAAAAATTTGAAAATTCAAAAAATTCACAAACTTGATTTCAAACAACTTGTAAATGTTTGCAATATAAATATGATCTAACTTTACTCTTGTCCTTTTATTTTAGAATAATTATCCACTCATTCCCATTTTCAACTTATATCCCTTTATACAGTCCAACCCTACTTAAGATGCTATAATTTAGAAAACAAGATATCTCGTTGCGGGCAACCAATAAGTCTTCCATCCATTTTTTTCTATAAGATGAGAAATGATGTTGACTAAGATTTATTTTATTAATTTTTTTTCCATTGCATTTCATTCCAGTGTTTATTCGAACATTTCTTTTGAACATCTATTGTTCAATGTTGCTTAACGAGATACACCGTATTTCAAGTTTTGAGGTAAAGAAGATGAGAGATTAAGCTCCTTTAGATCCTATAATTAAATAATATATAGTGATAAGAGATCATAACCAGTCGTTGCAGAATATGATAAACATTTTTTTTTCATTAATGGATATAAAAATTTCATCGTTACATGTAAATACCTATAAAATCTTTCTGTGTAGTAGAACCCCCAATTTAAAGGGTCACCTCGTTTTCTTTTGAATAAGAACTGTCATGACTGAAAACATTTTCTATTCAAAAACCATTTAAAATTTTTTTTGAGATTTTTAGAGAAGAAATATTTAGTCCTTAAAAACTGAAAGTTTGCAATTTGTTTAAATCTTTATTCTGGACAGCTTTTGTTCAAATTTGCTGTTCAAAACTATTTCTCCTTTCATAGATATAGAGCGTCAAAGATTTATCCTTCTGACCTTTAATTTAGTAAAAGAATATCAAAATGTTATTATGTATAGTAATAGATTGATAAAATTTGTATTTTGCTCCAATAATGTAATGCAAAATTTTGATCATTAAAGAGTTAGAAGAAAAAGACTTTTGGCCTCTTTTGATTCCTATATAAGAAGTTTTTAATTGTCTGATATAATAAATTTGAACACTCTTTGCTCACTACTGTTCAGATATTCTTTTTAGGCAATTCTTCCAACAAAATGTATTCTGTGAACTTCGTTAACTGTGTTAACTTAGAGTTAAACACATTTGATCACTTCATTTACAGATGGCAATAGAAAAAAGAACAAAAGACAAATATTTATTATATATGGTTCTTAATTATAACTGTATAAAGATTTCCAAAAGTATATGCAAGGTATTAGAAATTTAAAATGTTAAGTCTTTTTTTTTTTTTTTTTTTTTTTTTTTTTTTTTTGAAATACAAATGTGAATTATTTATGCAAATGTGAAGAATCCATTATTACTATACTTTTATAATGATAGCATGGTTTTATTGAAATCATATTTGACGCGGAATCTTACTGTAACCAGAAATGTCCTTAAACAGTATATTTATGCTGTATATACTGTAAATAGCACCCAAATCCACCTTCCATCTCACTTTCTTTTCAGCTGTACCACTTCCTCCTATTACACTGTTTCTAGTACAAGTGCCTTCATCTCTATCCACTGCATTCCCTGCGATATATTGGTTTTTACAGTCGTCACGATTGCAGGGCCATGTTAAAGTCTGACTCGTTGCTTTCTTTCTGGACAAATCCACTTTCCGAAATTAAAAAAAAAAGAATATTGCTTATAATGTTGTATTTTGGTAATATCCTTTGGTTAAAATAATGAAATTAAAACAGAGAAAGAGAGATATTTAGATTTATGGTTTACTGGAGCATATTAGAAACAGTATTATATCCTTTTATTTAATACAAAAACATCATATTTCCAGTGTTAATATCTATTTTGTTTATTTGAACCAGGCGTGAGGATGAGGGGGTGGATGGGAAACGTTAACTTTCCCAGTTTCCGATTTACGATATGCTTCTTTATGCAATACCGAAGATAATTATTTGAAAAATATATTCTTTTCTTATGATTTTGACTGAATTGAAAATTTTAACATCGATAGAAAGTAATAGTTTTGTTAAATATCAAAATACGATCTATTATGATTAAAACTTTTCTATTTAAAAGTTAACGTACATATACTTCCCAGGGGAGGATGCTTCCCGTATATTAGATTATGTTCGTGAGTTGCGGACATAGTTTCGTTTCAGATGATTAGCTAAGATTAACACACTTGCAACAGTCATTCAAGTGACTTCCTCACCAATTCACTCTTTTTCTGATACTTTCTCTCTCTCTCTATTTTTTTTTTTATTTTCAACACTGCCCTTGGTTTTGAATTCTTGAAAACATGTCCTTCAAAGAGGTGCATATAAAAAATAACAATGTCATACCTGTAGCAAGGTTTCCGTATTTAATTTGGAACATAATAAGAGGTGGATAAAGTGACAAGATATAGAGAATATTATAAAAAGTATACGTGATGTGTAATGATAAAACTGTACATACCGTATCCACATGTGACAGAGATTCCTATTAGAAACGTCACTTTTGCTAAAATATACCTTCTGAGAGACATGGTTTCTTTTCTTTACATGTAACGAATTCAGTTAACAGGAAGTTTAAAAAAAAAAACTTTCAAAAATACCTCGTATGGTGAAACATTTCGGTCGTATTTAATATTTAAACCAAATACTGTCTGTATGATCTTAAAATACATTTAAAAAAAAAAAAAGAAAAGAAATATCAACATTTAAACATAATTAATAAACCTCTAGTCTCAATGAAGACTTATGGCTAAAAATGTGCGCAATAATATTAATCAAAAGAGGAAATCTACAAATTCAATGATTAATTTCATTTAAAAAATACAATACAATAATATGGGACATTTCAACATATTTGTACTTTTATACCTTTCGTACAACTGTTATTATTTTAGCGAGAATATTTTCTTTTTGTCTTTTTGTTAGCAGTTTAGACTTGTGGAAACCTTTACGCTATCTTCTGCAAATACATCCTTGACGCACGGTAAACTACAATATTTTTTAAAAGATTCTTTAACCGACATTTCTTATTGTTGATGCTCTCTTGCTTTATTAGAGTAAGTGAATGAGAATCACCTGATGTTACCTTTTTTGAATGTCATCTCCTGATTTGATTGTAAAAATGACCTTCCTTTGTCCTTTGTAAACATATTAGATAAGGAGAGAAATGACGGTGCAAACAGGACTACTTAAGTAAACTTTTGAAGAACTTTTTTTTCAATCAGTCCAGTAAATAAATAAATAGCGATAGAACATGTTTAAAGCTTAATCGAGCACGGATATTTTGAGTGCATTCTTACAATGATGGTGCATATTTTTGTAAGAGTTATAGGAATAAAAGGTTGAAAATTCTACTACTAATAACTATAATTATAGGATATTACGAAGCCACTTTAGTCGTTTCTCCTGCTTCTTTATAATCGTGTTTACTGTCTTTGTTACATTAACGATTCATTAACCATTAGTATTGCATGTAATCGCTCAATCATGGACTTTGACGTCTCGCTGTTTGCGGACATAATACACCATTAAACAAAGAAGGATTAGAAGTGTGTGAAATTACCATTTTGCTTTTGTCTATCCCCCCTAAGTTTCTGGGGTCAGATTTGTATTTCAGGTCACGACTTCTAAGTCAGTAAAAAAAAAATCGTATAATACACAGTCTATGCAATTCATACAATTAATATTTGTCATTGATATGTTAATGTTCAACTGAAATGAATCACAAAAATGAGCTGTTAGAGAAATGTGCTTTTTTAAAATATATTGTTGACAATTTCATTGTATTTCAGGTATGAAATTTACATACCAACTTCAGTTACAGAGTATACATGTAACTGCTAGTAAATATGAGTATTTTGTACTTCATGATAAGTTGCCCTGGAAAAAGGATAACAGAATATTGTCACTTTTAGTGCTAACTTCCTAATAGTTGTAAGTATAAAGTTTTTTAAAAATTACAACCTTTTGAAAGTTCAAAAATTACAACCTTTTGAAAGTTCCTAAAAAATAGGTTTTTTAAAGCTCAAATACTGGAAAATATTTTAAATTAATGAAAGAAAAAGGTAGAAAAATTAGGGTTTTAGTCATCCGAATGGAAAGTGGTTAGATCGTCTCTTTATAACGCAGCTATGTTAAGGCTTCCTGAAGCTTTAAAATGCGCTCAAAACATAATATGTCATTGCGAGGTCGTTTTTGGTTTTAATTTATAAGTATTGAACTTTAGTACTTCCAATTTATATAAAGGGTTTCCTCGGCTATATATTAGCATATTTCTTATGATATCACATGACTTTGTTGATCACGTGACGGTCATTTATAATTTTTTTGAAGTCTTTCATATAAATCGCTTCGGCGCAGCTGATTAACACAATAATTATTAACATTTTGTTATATAAATAAAGTCATCGTATCCTTGTGTATCAGAAATGTGCTTGGGAAAAGTCATAGTATCATTTGGGTACAAAATATTTCCTGAGAAATTCAACTTACCTACAAATTTGAGGGTATTTTTCACACAATATCGTAATCTGTATTAAAACAAAGCCAGCACACATTTTTCCCAAGCAAGATTCAGTCAGAGAACAACGTCTTCTTACAGATTTCCACAAAAATTCTCAGATTAATCCTCATTAATCACCTGCGCCAGACTCTTTTATACACACAAAATAAATTCTACCTCCAACCACGGGTATAAAACAGAGTACATTTCAAAAGTATATTTTTCATAAGCATTTTGAACATGATGAATTTCAATCAAGGGTAGGTAAGCGGTGTATTTTTTAAAATATTCGGACATAATAGACTTAAAAAATCTTTAACGACCCGTGAATTTTGCAATAGCTATCTAGCATTTTACATGCAGTTTGAAGTAAAGTGTAAAGTTCATGACACTCTCCCCGTCATAACACCTCACGTTTGCAGTGACCTGACGTCATTTTCTATTATGACGTCATATTTTGGTAGTTCAGAGATGTGAAGGCACAGAGTGCACTGTCATATTCTACGGGAAGCCTTAACCTACCTGCGAAATCCGGAGATAATTTTTAACTCGCGATTTCAAATTCTACTGTGGTACGTGTAGACAGATGCTACAAAAGCGAAGTCCCATGTCGCAGTACATGCTGACATGAAAAGTAAAAGTGCTTCAGACAGGTTTTACTTTGTAATCTTCCATCGGCAATCTAGGGCGTTCCAATATAATTGAAAAAATTTAGAAGAAAGTAAAAAAAATATATTAACGATTCGTATTTTCCCTAATCATAATATATACTCGTATTGTTGAATTCTGTTCAAAATTGTTTAATAAATTTAATTTTACTGAAGTATCACCCTCCTCCCCCCCCTCCCCCCCCCCCAGAAAATAAAAGTATAATTTATTCATCAAACATTGAAAACAATGGGGCAACAGAACGGGTTTTCATTTGTCTCAACAGTATTGGTATTTCTCACATTTCTTATTAATTATGAAAAATGTTCTATTCTGAAAACTGTAGGTGGTGACATCCCGACAATATTAATGACCATATAAAAATATTATGCATAAAAATGACCAGTTTCCACATCTGGTATTTGCGGCATAAATAATCAAAACTGAAAATAATCAAAACTGAAAATCCAAGTCTCAGATTTATATTTCTAAAGGATATTCAATTTGTGTAAATTAGAATTCTTGTCTTTGAAAATGTAAGAGGAGTTAGGCGGACAAATGATGTACCCTATTAAGAGAGCATGTCAGTAAGCATTGAGCTTTCTATGGAAAGTCAAAAATATGAATTTTTTTTTTAAATAGTGTGTATGGATTATTTCTGTCCCAAATAACAAGAAAAATAAAAATTAATGATTTCAACCATAATCACTGAGTCGTATCTAAGGAGAAACATTTCCTTAGTTACCATGGCAATTTTTCACATTCAAAACGGGCAAATACTGACATAAATAAATGTATTTTTCATGCAAATGTTCTCAAAAGATGGTTTAATACTACCTATTTTTTAAAGATGACTAAATTGATAGTTCTACTTTGCCTGATTAAATTGGATTAAGTTCTTCTATTATGTTGCTATGGCAATGGGAAAAAGTGACAAGTTTAGCATTGAAAAAATTGTTGAATTTAAGACATTTTAAAACGCATTTGACAAAAATCCGTACAACTGCTTATAAACTACTCTATAATGAAATTTTGTAACTGTTTGAGTATACAAAAAAATTAAAAAATAAAATTCGGTAGACTTTCAAAAACATTGTTGCCATGGAGATTCAAAAATATGCAAATTTTGGCATTTTTTGATGATTTCCTGTTAACAATTCAGATTACTAGAAGTAATTTGTCCTTTCAGACACAAGATATCCTTATTCCACATGGGTGCAGTTTAACAGGAAATGAGTCATGCACTACTATGACCGTCTACTCACTTTGACCTTTGACCCAAGGTCAAATTATTCTTTATTATATATTCTATGTATAATAATTTCTTATCTAAATCTACACGATTCTTTATATTTTGAACCTTGCTCCAAATGTTTCATACATTGATACACAGTGTATACTGTTAGACAATTCAAGAAGATAAATTCATGCTCTACTGTTGACCTTGACCCCAATGGCAAGGTCATTTAATTAATTTAGGTCAAAGTAAAAAAAATTATCTGTTATGACCTGTTCTTGAAATACATGTATTTGAAACATGTGCAAAGTAATGCATCATGAACAACCTTCAATCAACACTAAATAATGAAGCTTCAACATCAATAATGATTAAAATGACCTTGATGTTCCCTAAAATTGTCCTTCCCTGCACTATGTAAAATTTTAGCCCCATTCATACCTAGAGGTTGACGATCTGAGGGGAAAAACTAAAATCCACATAACTTGAGAATCTTTGCAAATTAATTGATTTAGTTGGTCTTGCTATTCTTGAAAAGAATATCTGAAAATTTGTACATTTATTCTCATTTAGTCTCCATTTTAGCCTCATCTTAGCCCCTGTGACCACAATTAGTACACAATGACATCTTTTCTACCCGAGAATTCCTTGCATAATATGACAAATCCTGGCTTCGCTGTTTTTATTTTTTGCCTATATACTTTAATTCCCTGTTATGGTTTCACCTTAAACTCAATGGCCATTATTTGATATATCAGGAAGCTTTCACATCATCTTTTTCTTAAGATTTATGCAAATATCAATGACCCCACCCTATTTTTGGCTTTCCCTGATTATCTCCTCTTGGGAAGGAGCTTGGCCATTTATTTGTACGAACTTGAAATATGCCCCTTTCCTAAAGGATATTCGTTGTCAAGCATGGTCCAATGGTATTTTCAGTAAATTTAAAGATGAAAATGCAGAAGTGTTTAAGATGAGGAAAACAACAACACAAATTTTTTAACAGAAAAGCCCATTAAGTACAGCTATGGTTAATGCCCCTTTAAAAATTTCTCCTTCAATAGTTCCATAAATACACTACTGAAAGCACTTACAGGGGAAATCCAATGAAAAATCTATTTTATTTTCCCCCTCTGCTTATATCA